ATGTGTATTCTATTAATACTATGAAAAAAAATCCAGGTAGTAGGTCATTTCCTTGAGCCATGACACTGAATTTTATGGATGGGCAGCAGTACGCCAAAGACCTCCAATTATATATAATATTACATGAGCTTCTAACGCATATAAAATTAGGGAATAGGGGGAAACCCCAGCATTAATAAGTGCTATACCATTTTCCATTCTGGATCAATGCTCATGGCAATATTGATGAATTCTTTATCTAAAAAGGGCACTCGAGCCTCAACACCCCAAGCTGAAGTTGATTTGTTGGCCCTCAGACAGTCATAAAGATGAAGGGCTTTAATCTGTTGAGTAGTCACAATAGTTAAATATGAAAAATAAAAACAAAAACAAAAGTTATAATTGCTGCAAATGAGTAAAACAAAAATCCAGCAATATTGAAAGTAAATTACCATTTCCCTTAAATAAAACAGAAAAGAAACAGCCAGAGGGAGAGGAAGGAGAGATAGTTTTGAGGGGTACCTTCTGACATGTTTCTTGGTGAAATTCCTCTTTGTTTGGTGCCTTGTGAAAATACAAGTAACCTCCAAAAATTTCATCTGAACCTTCCCCAGAAAGAACCATTTTCACTCCCAAAGATTTAATTTTCCGAGACATAAGAAACATGGGTGTACTAGCTCTGATAGTCGTCACATCATATGTTTCAATATGGTAAATAACTTCCTCAAGAGCATCTATTCCTTCCTGAAACATTAAAGAAAAGAAACAAATTATCAGTATGATTCTTGGGATGAATGTAGATCTTTGCTTCTGTCCTGGGATTACTAATGTAGGACAATGTTTCCTCGAGCCCATTGATGTTGAAATCAAAAAATAGAAGAAAAGCAAGAGAAAGACAGGAGTTTAGGGAAGAAATAGAATGAGGGGATAGACGAGCTAAATGCAATTGTGTTTATAATCAATATACCAGAAGTGTGAAGCCTATTACAAGCAATCCTAAATCATTAAATACCTAAAGATAATAAAATTTTGGAACAGTAATTAAACACAGTGCTATTCCTCAATTTTAATAATTAAAGACTAAATAGATTACATGATTTTTAAATGTAAGAAATAAACCTAATATATACCCTTGAGCCTAAGTACGAAAGTTCCTCTCTTGCATCCTTCAATTACCTGTACAGTAAAGTGAAACCCATGATGACGAGTCCCAAGATAATCTGCAACTTCTCTTGCTGCTTTCAAATCTGGAGAGCTCTGAAGATTGAAAATGTATCATTTGAATGTAGAGAAAAAATTTCAGAAAAGATAAAATCCAGTAAAAGATTGATTCCAGGAAAACACATCAAAAGCTGTCCGGTGCCAAAATTTGCATCAGAAAGGTCATTGAACATCTATAACAAGGACATTCATTTATTTATTTAAACTTGTCACGTTCTCTGCCTTCATCACACAGGGTGTACAACTTTTTATCAGTGACATTTTGATGTCATTTGGCATAAGCAACAGAAGAAGCCCACCCGTGTATGATTCTTTTACTAGAAGATGTAATATATACTTGTTCAAACAGGAAATCCATGTCTACAAGTTTACAAACCGATAGAAAACAAATTGGCAACCTGAGGTTCAAGAACTATGTTAATAGACATCTCTTGTTCACAAAGTGAGGACATGTTGTAGTTAGCATCATCAAAACAAGCACTATTAAAGAAAAACAGAAAGGGGGAGGACGACTTGCAAAGCATCACAATTGGCTATCTAAACAAGATATTAGCACTACATTCAGTAAGCACTAAGTTTGGCTATCTAAAGAGAGACAAGTGTTTCAACCTCCAAGCCAATGCAAAAGGTGTGTAACTGTGATCCCCACTGACATGCAGCTTCTGATTCGGCTAAATAGCGACAAGCCACAGCAGCAACAAGTGATGAGTCCAGTCCTCCAGACAAAAGAACACCGAATGGTACATCTGTCATAAGTCTCTTAAACACAGCCTGCATGATGTCAAGAAAAAATAAATAAGGGATATGAAGTTAGAAATTCTAAACATTAAATGTGCTATAAGAGTGTGATTCAGAGGTCACTTTGTCCTACAACCTGGTTGTTGAATCCATATGAACAAATCACATATCTGAATGCCATTCCTAGCCTTAAATTTTAATTTGAGACTAATGCTGGCATCTTTTTCATTATAAATACTTGCACATCAGTATGTGACAAAAATTTCTATAACT